TATATATATATATTTATGCGACAAAATGGAAATGGACTGGGAGAACCAGACGAATCAATTATTCCCAAGGCCACGCCCCTAACCCCACGTGGTCAGAACACCCCCAGCTGGTACTCAGAACCAGAGGCCAGCTTTGGGATGAAGTCAAGTTCATACATAAATTCTTGATCACCTTTACATCATGCTAAAAAAACTGCTGTTAATACATTGATGCTGTACTCTAGACTATTGCATAGCAGCAAAATTAATTCAACAGCGTTTGTTTATTTTTATTTATTTTTTTTATTTATTATTAAAGCGAGTAGCTTCTTTAGATTTTGAACCAAAAAATGTCACCTTTACCCCCCCCCCCCTCCCTTTCAAAAAAGAAAAAACAAATGTTCGAGCGACGATTTTTTTATCCAGTGTTAGTTAAATTTTATTAGCTCGATTCGTGTAAATTATGTTAATGTTGAATACATGTCTCAAATACAGACACGGTAAATATCATTTAAAACGTAATTTAAGGCATGTATATGTGTACCCTTTGAAACATTTCATTGACATTACAGCGGAGCTAAAGTGGGTTCACACTGGCAGGAACAGAATAGACGCAGAAGCGATTTGCTCGACATCCTTTTTCATATCACAAGATAAGAAAAGTCATCCACAAAGCAAGGGATAACCTAATCTAAACGCTTCCTACCGTCGCCTAAGCTCAAAAACTTAACTTAAAGGCGTTTTGTAAAACAAACCAGCACCCGTTCCGTTGATCTGTGGTGTTAACAGCTTTAAGTCTGGCGTTGGTGTAATATTTGAGTAATAATGGTCCTCTTCCAGACATAGATGTATCGATTTTTATTATCATAGCACGATTCATGTTACCAGCTGCGTCTGGGCAAAGATCGTCTGCTGCTTTACAAGGTTTGGTTTTATCGAAAGAATTTGGATCGTTGATTTAAAGTCTGAGGTTTATTGTTTAATTTTAGCTGAGATTTATTAACAGAATTCCATTTTAAGTGCAGTTTTCCAAAAAGCAAGGTATAGGTTGTGTGTAAGATTAAATTAATGGGTCTTAGTCTCTTAGAGTTTGGGCAAACAAAAGCCCCGTCGAAAAGGACCCGGAGAAAGAAAAGGATGCAACCACAGAGTGAAAAAACTGCGATCGAATTTATTGACCGTCAACCCCCCGAGTACTCAATTTCATAGTTTTTCTTATAAAACCATATAGTTAATAAGAAGTCTGTTGCAATTTTATGGATTAATTTGTTTAAGCAATTCACATTGGCTTGCCATTTTGTTTTCAGAAAACATTTGCCTAGATTTAAAGATTGTCAAAATATTTCACCTCTCGTCACAGCCCAGAAGCCGGGTGTGCTCCCCTACCACCCCTACCCCACCCCCTCCAGTTTCCTGCCCTCACTCGCCCAATGTTCTATTCTGTTCTGTTAGGGAACAGCTCAAGACACATTCATTAAACGCAGATGAAGAAGTAATGTTCTGTAGATGGGTTCCCAAGAATAACCACCATGTTGTATTGTGTCATTGTTTTGAGAAATAATAAATATAAGTTGCTGGTCTTTAGTTTGTTTGTTTGTTTGTTTTTTATCAGCGGTGGTCATGTAAACTTAAAAAAAAAAAAGAACGAGGGTTCACTTTCAGCATCTGCCAATGAGTGTCGCCACGTGCTGGTAAGTACCATAAAGTGTCGCCACCTGACGGAAAGTGTCCCTCAGTGACGCGTGATTAAAGCACAACAGCTGCCCAGTAGCCGATATCACAGGAGGGTCTAACATGGAAAGCTGATCTTTGCCCCTTGGATCTTCTTGGCCATAGGCTGCGGACATTTCTGAAAAACAATTATTATAGTGTTAGGCCTACAGACTTTTCTCCCATGCAGACTGTCCCTTATATTGTCGAGTTGCCAGAACGTTAGCCCTGCGATGTTCTTTCCTATGAAATTTCTTTTTTTACAGAAATGCATTCATTATTGGCCATATTAGTAAAATCAGCTCGGTTGTTTCTTCCGAGACGGTGAGCGTTAGGCCCCCTATTTATATGATAATAGAAAAAACGGGAAAGTCCACAGATATATTTCGTTTGGTGCTCTAAGCGTGTTACTTTCATACAAGATCAAAACGGTCGTAAAAATACATAATTAAAAAGCTGCAAAATCAGTCCATTTCTGGTAAAATTGGTCCATTGTTTCTTCTTGATGTAACAAAAAGCATAGGCCTACAGATGGATCCTCTTGTTTCTGCAGCAAAATGCATAGTAACGGATTTGAGGTTAAAATACTGCACAGTGGAAAGCTATGCACAAATATAAAAGCAATCAAAATGTTCATAGCCGTATTCAGCAACAAAACTCTCCATTTCGTCGAAAATTAATCATACAAGTACAAATTGCATGAAAACGTGAAAAACGTTTATTTAATTTCGTCTCAACAGGGGCGCTGCAGTCAGCTTTTGTTTACAATAGCGCAAAGCATTGTGGTATACCGCAACTCGCGATTCCTAGTGACTTGTATCTACGTTTCAAGTTGATTACTTGCCTATATCATTGTTAAAGGTAGGTATTATTAAAGCATATTCATATAATTTAAGTACAGCTTCTTCTCTGTACGAAATATTGAGGCTTAATAGTACCGAAAATTCATGGGAAATTTTTTAATCGTAGTCTGTCGAAATTTTCCGTCGCCATGCAGCCGCGTCAGTGTGCGACTTCTTCTTGGTTGCATTTCTTCGCGAATTTACAAGATTTTGACTAAATAATGATCATATCTATCTTACTCAAAGTAGTATAAATGTAACTTGAATCAATTATCATAACGCTAAAACGGAACGAATTGCCGTGGGCAGCATGAAAAGTAGTCTGTCTCAGTTCGAAGACGCGCCCTGTTTGGACCAAAGTATAAATCGTGAATTATTGAGTACGTTGAGCAAAATTGTATGAAAATGTTAAGATTTAATGATATTAAATGGTGTATTGCAGTGTGATTGTTCGAAAACAGATTCTGTGGTAAAATAAATCGTTAGATTTTTTTCCTTACAGATTCTTGTAAGAAAGCAATAATGCCCGAGTCAGGTAGAGATCGAGACCGTCGCCATAGGCGACATGCGTCCAAAAAGGACGACATTTGGACTTTGTAAGTTGACAATAGTGACATTTTAAACACATGATCCACAATTTTGTTATTGGTGTAGAGATATTTAGTTTATACAGTTTCATAAAAGGTACCATAGCTATCAAGTGTTTATAGTACATGTATATATGAAACATTGTTTATTAATCGGTCCATCCTTTTTATAACAAAAATTTAAAAAAAAATGTTATATAAAATCAATGCCTTTGAGTCATGTGGAATTGATTAATAACCATTTTACATTTTGTCTTGATTCCTTGTAGGCTTCCTTACATTGTACCAGAAGAGCACATCTCTTTCATTGCTGACATGAAGAAAGAGTTTGAAAACTGTGCAAAAAAAGGTAAAAATAAACAATGACACACACACGTACAGTCGTACACGCACGCACTGTTCAACAAATTCACATCTTTTCTGTTTAAATTTCTTTGCTCTCTTCAGTACTTTGCTTTGTCTATTTTCAAATCCTGCTTACTTGCTTTTGTTTCATTAAAAAATCACTTCCAACTGTTCTTTACCCTTTTGTGCATTGCTCTTTTTCTTTATTATTATGATTATTATTATTATTATTTGTTTATTTATTTATTTATTCATTTAACCTTTCTGTTTGTCTTTTTCTGTTCTTTCTGTTACTTTCTTACCTACACAGACCAAACTGTGTCAAGCACTAAGCTGCCAGAGTTTGCAAAATTCCCTCAGCTTACAGGAAAACCAGCAGCTAATAACACTGCTTCATACACCAAAACTCCTTTTCCTGTGAGTGGATTAACTATGAATATTCTTCTAAGTAACATCATTGTGGATTTTTA